TATGATTCAGTGATCTATTTTTTCATAAATCCATGTTTGTTCCAGTTGAGACGTCCACAGCTGGGACAACTCAACTGGAGGGCTGGAGGATTCACCTTTAACATGACTCAACCATGTGGAGGGGAGATTGATGCTGAGTTTGAGCTGGGAGCTCAGTGAGAGTTGTGGGCCAGGGACCTCAGGTCCTTTCTAGGTGGGCCTCTATACCAGAAGGTTGGGTTTCCCATAGTGACAGGGTTCTAAAAGCAATCATCCCAAGCAGGTGTATTATAGTTTAACTAGAGGCCTGGTGCACGAAATTCCTGCACTTGGGGGCAGGAGGCAGTCCCTCAGCCCAGCCTGTGTCTTTGGTTTTGAGAAATAGCACCAACAGAATTGATTACTAGATCTGCGGAAGAATATAATAGCAGTTGAGCAAATGAAAAGACTGAGAAACTGATCTTCCCAGATCTTCCTCAATTAGATCTTCTGCAGTTTGGTTGATAATGAATTTTCCAAAACCAAGTAATACCTTCAAATGCAAATGCAAAGGAATAACATTTTTTTAAAATTAGCCTAACCAATCAAGCAACTCTTCAAAGAAAAATAAAACAATCCAATTTCAATGTTGGATTTAGGATTATTTGTTACTAAAATACATTTGACTTACCATCTTACTAATTAATTAAATGATGCAAAGTAAAAGTTTATTGACATTTTGAGTTAAAAAAATATATAGTCATTAAGATTATTATGAACATTTTTATGTTACCTATTAAGGTAATTTTTTGCATCCTCATTTTATTTTGGTGGAAAGAATCCAGTTGAAATAATAACTATTTTAGTTGATTAAATTTTTATTAGAGGTAGTGTTTTGTATATGAACTCTGTTGCTTTTTTGTATGTTTTAAACAGCAGCTTTTCCTATGCAGATACAAATTCATCTGGAATAGTTTCTGAATTTTGTAAAAGGCGAAAGATTTATGCGGTCTGAAGAGAAACCAGAGCATAGTTTCTGAATTTTGTTAGTGAATAGATGGGGAGGGAATTTGGTGGTAAGAAGATAATAGAGTAGGGACAAATATGGAAGGAAAACTTGTGGTAAACCTCATGAAGGTATAAAAATTCCATGCAGTACAGGAGAGTGAGTATTGTGAGCTTTTGTAAAGGGACTATGTAAATGCAAAATTCAACAATCTTATCTTTTAAATGTGTGTAGGAGATGGGGAAAGATTATAGCAGATAATACCTTGGAAAAGATCCTTTACCCATTGGCAGGAGAGGAAGGGAGCTCTCCCCTTCAAGAGAGGTCAGACCAGAAGGCTCCTAAGGAAATTCCCTGTCAGCTAGGGACAGTGGCATGGACAGTTGGCAAAAAGTCACTCCTTGCTGACACTGAGTATGTTTACAGAAATGAAGCTAAATGAAGTATGGTGGCGCTTGGAGAGGAACATGTTTGCACTGGCACTGGAGCAAAGTGCAAAGCAGAGATGACTATACCTATGCACCAGAGAATAAAAAAGAGGAACCAAACCCCAACAGAAGAGGCAAATAGGTGTTTGTCTTAGATGAGAGTGAGAGCAAAAGGAATGACTGCCAGTGGGTAGGTGGTTTGGGGCACCTGAAACAAAGCATGAAGAAGTTCGAAAGTACTGATACAGTCAGCTCTCCAACATCAATTAAGTGAAAAGAAATCAAGATATAAAACAATGTGGCTAATGTGCTATGATCTGCATAAATAAGGAAAAATATTATTTTCATATTTGTTTGAATATACATTTAAAAATTCTGGAAGGATATCTAAGTAAGTAATATTAGTTATCTATTTGTGTGTATATGTGCCCAAGTATTTTAGTACTGTTACTACATAACAAATGACCTCAAATTTAGCAGCTTAAAACAACAAATACTTAATATCTCACAGTTTTTGTAGCTCAAAAACACAGACATGGCTTAGCTGGGTGGAACTGGCTCAGAATCTTTCATGAGGTTGCAATCCAGATGACTGGGGCTGGGGGGACCACCTCCAAGATGACTCACTCACATGGCTGTGGGCAGGAGGCCTCTGTTCCCTCCCAACTGGACTACTCCATAATGTTGCTTGCATCTCTTCATGACATGGCTGTTGGCCTCCCTCAGAATGAATGATCTTGAGCCCTAACCAGGTAGCTCATTTGGTTAGAGCGTTGTCCCAATATGCCAAAGATGTATGTGGGTGGGTCCCATTCCTGGTCAGGGCACATAAAAGAAGCAACCAATGATCGCTTCTTGGCCTTTTGGCTAAGATCAAGTGAAGGAGCAACCAATAAATGCATAGATAAGTGATACAACAAATCGCTGTTTTTCCCTTTCCCTCTCTAAAATCAATCAACAAAAGTTGTTTTTTTTTTTTAAAGGGGGTTAAAAAAAAAAAAAAGAATTATCTGAGAGAGAGGAAGAGAGAGAGATGGAGATGGAGAAAGAGGAGCAAGGAAGAACTGCAAAGACTTATGACCTAGTCTAAGGAGTCACACTCAGTCACACCTGCCACGTTCTATTCATTTGGAGAAAGCCACTAAGTCTGGGGAGGAAAATTAGGTTTCAGCTTTTGAGAGGAGCATCAGATAATTTGTTTGCATATTTTAAAACCACCAAGGGAGGGGCAGGGAGAACTGGGTGAATAAGGGCAGGTCTGGAAGATTTTCACTTGTTAACATAAAAACAAACAAACAAAAAAAAAACACCTAGAAACCTGTAAAGAATTTTTGAGTATTTGAGCCAAACCGTTGACATTCTGGGAAGCAGAACCTCAACGAATTGAGATAATGCTCCTGAGAATAGCGGGTTAAATCTGTATTTATACATGGCAATCAAAGGAAAGGGACATAGATGGGTTACATGAAATCCAATGGTGACAGACTAGAGGGGTGGGGAGAAAGCAAAGCAGGGAAACCCCCGAGATTAGATAAAAAGTAAAATGACACATACTTAGGTGGGTCCAGAAATAATTAACCAATTTGTGGTATCTGTCCTGGTGCCCAGTACATTAGGTTTGTGCCCCAAGGGGTCCAGAAAAAGAAGAGTTACAAGTTACTCAGACATTTCAAGGATATGTTATCATACATGCAAAAGACAGATAGGCTCAGTTAAGGCAAAGGTTGACCTTGTCAGTGAAGATACCAGCCTAGGATGTAACTACCCACCATCACTGCTTTTAGTTAAAAGTTTATTTTCTGACCATCCTTTGTGGTGACTTTAGGTCTCTGAATTTGCAAGACTGCCACGTAGGCCTACCCTGAGCATGTGGCCCCTTTCATTCACACACTGTATCTATGTTTATCCTCCAACTATTCATTTGACAATGTTAATCAAAAAAAGGAATTAATTACATTACTTTTACTTTTTTTCAGAGAGGAAGAGAGAGAAACATTGATTAGCTGCCTCCTGCACACCCCCCCCCCCCCCCCCCCACTGGGGGCAACCAAGGTACATGCCCTTGACTGGAACCTAACCTGGGACCTTTTAGTCTGCAGGGTGAGGCTCTATCCACTGAGCCAAATCGGTTCCAGCTAATTACATTACTTTTAAAAGGAAACCTACTTAAGCTATTTGGGAAAGAGTTGGGGGATGAAAAAGAAAAAGCTGAACAGGATGTGACTAGGAGAAGTTGTTTGAGGTGAAGTTGACCTTTGTCCAGATAATAGGGAAAATAAAAAGGTCTACTTTGTACTCAGCCTGCCCCTCCTCCCCGCCGCTGGAGATTCTGCTTTCTGGATTGCCAGGGCTTGGGGTGCTGACAGGTATGGCCAGTTTTGGACAATGGTTTTGCGAAGTGGGGAGAGCTCTGTAGTCAAGGACGGCCGGCGTTTTTCATGTATGATATCTTCAGTCCTGTTACAACAATATGTTACTATCTAAACCATTCTGTAGGCACAGCCCGAGGTCATTGTTGATTTTCAATAATATTGGATGGCATATAATGCCATTATTAACAGGTGATGTTCTGCTCACCAGCTCCAGTCGGGTTTGACCTTTATGTCTTCTTCAACCTAACTGGCATCAATTGCCAAGCACTCCGAGAGGATGTGATTAACTTTTATGGGAGCAAAGACGTGGCACGGTACTCAACAGGTCATTGTCTCAAGTTCTTCAAGGGCGAGAGACCGGAGTGGGAAGCACTAACTGTCCTTCCTGCGCTCCTGGTCACTTTACGAGTCTGGAGGTGAGGGCAAGTGTTGCAAACAAAACCAGTCCATTTGCTCTAACCTCTTCCATAGGGTAATTCATCCAGAAAACACCGACAGTCCCTTTTAAGCCAAGTGCGGCTGCTCGCTCCTTCAGAAGGGAGAGTGGGCCGAGTGCGCGCCTCCCCTCGCCCCCCTCCGCGGCGACCCACGTCCTTCCTGGGTCTCCTGGGAACCCCGGGATTCCAAGCCGGGTCCCCGCAAGCCCGGCCCAGGCCAACTCCGAGGTTGGTGGTGTCCGGGAGCGAGGGGCACAGCTGGAGGCGGAGCAGGATGCCCCTCGCTAGGCCACGTCTGCTGGCTCCAGCCCCGGTTTCCTGACAAGCGAGGAGGTAGGCGGGGCGCGAGGACGCCACTCAGCACTGGGAGCACCCGCCGGCGACCGCGACGCGAGGCGAGGCGGGAGGGGCGTGGCCTGCGAGAGGGGGCGTGGCTCTCGGGTCGCTTCCGGCGCCTTCGGGCCAGCCCCACGCCGGCGTGCCACATCCTCCGGTGACGTCAGCCGGCGCCGCCATATTGGAGAGGCGCCGCCGCCGCCTCGGAGCTCCGGCTGCCTCCCGGCTGCGGCCGCAGGGAGGAAGGAACGCGTCTCGCGCCGCGCCGACGCCCGGCCCGCCCGCCTCGCCCGCCTCGCCCCCGCCGTCTCCCCATGGTTGCCCCCGGCCCCGCTGCCGTCAGACGTCGTCCTAGCGCCCGGATTTAACACGGAAGCCCGGGCCGGGGGCCGCGGGGGAGGAGGAGGGAAAGCCGGTCTGCCCCGCGTCCCAGTCGGCCCGGCGCGGCGCCTCGGCCGGAGCCATGTCCTCGCTGACCCAGCGCAGCTCGGGCCTGGTGCAGCGCCGCACCGAGGCCTCCCGCAGCGCGGCCGACAAGGAGCGGGCGGCGGGCGGCGGCGGCGGCAGCGGCGAGGACGACGCGCAGAGCCGCCGCGACGAGCAGGACGACGACGACAAGGGCGACTCCAAGGAAACGCGGCTGACCCTGATGGAGGAGGTGCTCCTGCTGGGCCTCAAGGACCGAGAGGTGCGCGCTGGGAGGGGCGGCCGGCGGGGCCCGGGGCCGCCCTCCGAGCTCCCGCGCCGGGGGCGCCCGGCTGGCCCGCTGCCCCCAGGTCCTCCCCGGTCCTCCCTGCCCGGGCGGCTCGGGTTCCCTTCCTCCTTCCACATCACTCCGTTCCGTCCGGCTCCCTGGCCGTGCGTTTCCTCCTCGCCTCTTCCGCGCGGCCGATAGCCCTTCAGCCCGGGGACCCGCCGGCTTCCCATCCGCACCTGCAGCCGCCGGCCCCGAGCTCGCTCCTGCGTCTTGCAGATCCCAGCACCTGGGAGGGCTCCGCGGGTCTGGCTTCTGGGAGGGTTAACAAGCTTTAAGTGGACTGTTTGGGATTTTTTTTTTTAAATGCCAGTGAAATGGTAATGGGCAAAGTTACTTTACTGATAAAAGTTAAAAGTCCAATTAAATCCTCATGACACTTCCTAGAAAATGACTCTCTAGGTAAACTTGTTTTTGGGTGGAAGGTTATTTTTGAATACTGCTTTTAAGTTTTATCAGTTGATGTTCTATTCTTCAGAAAGCCTTAAGGAAGGGCTTTTTCGTAGGGTGCTGGGGGGCTTGAAGTGCTAGGCCTGTGATTTGATGAAAAGCCTCACAGCCTTAGGGTTTTTTATTTTATTTTAATTTTTCCCATTTTTTATTAAGGTGTTATATGTGTACATACCGTACCATTGTCCCTCCGCCCCCCACTCCCATACATGCCCTCCCTCCCCAGAGTTTTGCGTCCTTTGGTTATGCTTATATGCATGCATGCAAGTCCTTCGGTTGATCACTTATCTCCCCCACATCTCCCTAACCTTCCCGCTGTCATTTGACAGTCTTGTTTGTTGCTTTACTGTCTCTGTATCTAGCCATAGGTATTTTTGTTCAGACTTTGAAAGATTATATTCATCCAAGTATTTTATGAGAATTTTCACGCATACAGTTGGGAAAAGCAAACACTCGCCTAGTGTACACCTTATATATTCATCTCCTAGGTTCTGACATTAGCATTTTGCTGTATTTGTTGTGTGTGTGTGGTGAAATCACATATCCTTCTGTCTACAAAAATGATTATTTTAAGAGGCTTCCAGACTGTGGGGGAGATGGTTAGTCTAAATCATATGTGGTAAGGTGGTTTCAGAAGCTTGTTCCAGCATGGACACCACAGATATTTTGAGACGTCAGATACAAAAAGATCTTTTTCTTTTTTGAGAATTTTAAAATTATAGCTGACATACAAAATTTTATTAGTTTCAGGTATTCCTAAGTTTTGATTGTAAGAACATTTTGTCAATTCATGAAGGTGGGTAAAAATAATCTTTCTGAAACAACTTAGTCTTCACCAAATGTAGGAGGTATAGGTGAGGTTATATGGAGTGGACTCCTGATATTTAGTATTGGTGGACTCCTGATATTTAGTATTCAAATGAACTAAAGTTTACCTTGATAGAATTGTCTAGACTCTAGAGCATTTGCAATATCTTGGTTTCCCATTTGCTGAAGTTTTACTAAGATCCCATGAAAAAGGTTATGTCTCTCTGGCTGTGAAGTGGGCCTTGACTGTATGTGGAATTTTTTTGTTCTTTGGAAAAATAAACTACATGTCTAGTGTCCTAGAAATATGGTTTTATAGAAGATATTCAACATGCCCTTTTTAGGCTTTACAGTTTAGAATCTTGGAAATAAACATTTTTCTTTGTTTATAATAATCACCTTTTTTCTTCAGGGCAAAAGTAACGTTTTAGAAAAAGAAAATGTAAAAGGAAGAAAACAAGTTATCCTCATTCCTGAGTGGACATTTTGGTTTTATAGTTTTTGAGCGATTTCTGTGAGGGCATGTCCTGATGTAATACTAAAACTAGCTTTAGGACTTTTGAATTAGAGTGAGAAATTATGGTGTTTCAAGTATGTGTTACTCTAAATATTTAGCATATCAGCACGGTATTTTCCTGTGATCGATTTTCATGAAGATAATCTAAAGTTGTTCGTTGAACTTATAATTCTCTCACCATTGATGTTTCCATCTCTCCCTCTCCCACTCTGAAATCAATAAAAAATATAATTTAAAAAATTCTGCTTAGTGGGAGGTGGGTGTGGCTGGGGAGAGGTCAGTGGGGGAGAACAGGAGACCTTTAATACTATATGTACAATAAAGAATTTTTTAAAATATATATTATTTCAGTATATAATTAATATAAAAATAGTACTTAGAAAATTTAGACAATTTAAAGTTCTTTGGTGGCAGATAATTGAAGTCATCAGTTGTGTTTGTGTCAGAAGTCACAGACTTTGCCATGTCTTGGCCACTGTCCAGACACTAGCTAATTCTGAATATTTCTTGCTGATTTCAACAACCACCATAGGGAACTTCATATTGCCTGTTGTAGGCAGGTCCCTGGAGTTGAAGAGGAGGTGAGTGTGGTAGGGATTTTGTTTGTACTGCTTTGATTTAGGTTTTAATGATTGACTTCTGTATTTTTTCCTGTCTTCACTTACTAATAACCAGCCCTGTCCACTCATCCATTCATGTATTTCTCCTTTGGAGGTTTTCCCCATGTCTTCAACCTGTATCACTCTTATTAGAAGGGTAGGAATTACTCTTACCCAGAGCCTAGGCATTTATGCTTGTTAGTATTAGATTTTAACATACTATATTTGATATTAACAAGTTCATAATACAGGGTGGGGCAAAAGTTGGTTTACAGTAGGTTTACAAACCTACTTTTGCCCCACCCTGTATATAGTTCAGTAAACTTACTGCTTTAACTTTTTAATTATTTTAACTTAGCATCCATCTTTGTAACATCTGGTTACTCTAAAAATATTTAAAAGCTAAATTTTAAGGTTAGGCAGGTCATTAGTGATGGACACATTTTATGTATGTAAGCAAATCTTGTTTGAAATCAAAATAAAAAATTTTGAAACGTTTTACTTTTGACTTTTTCTTTTTTTTATTGATTTTTTACAGAGAGGAAGGGAGAGAAAGAGAGTGCTAGAAACGTCGATGAGAGAGAAACATCGACCAGCTGCCTCTTGCACACCCCCTACCGGGGATGTGCCCGCATCCAATTTACATCCCCTTGCCCGGAATCGAACCTGGGACCTTTCAGTCTGAAGATTGATGCTCTACCACTGAGCTAAACTGGCTTCGGCTACTGTGACTTTTTCAAAAGGTGAGACTTACAACTTTTAAATATTTTTGTTGAGCCCTAGCCGGTTGCTCAGTGGATAGAGCATCGGCCTGTGGACTGAAGGATCCCAGGTTCAATTCTGGTCAAGGGCACATGCCCAGGTAGCAGGATTGATCCCCAGTGTGGGCCCTGCAGGAAGCAGCTGATCAATGATTCTCTCTCATCATTGATATTTCTCTCTCTCTCCCCCTCTCCCTTCCTCTCTGAAATCAATAAAAAATGTATTTTTAAGAAATACTCTTATTCAATAATAAATCTACAGAAAGTACAAATATAAATATGAATTTTCAGACTGAACATTCCTGTTAAATAAACAGAACATGATCAGCTCTCCAAAAGTCTCACTTGATTTCCTTTCCAGTCACTGCCCAGACCTCAGAGGTCACCACTATCTTGACTCTAAAGTCAAGCATAGAATAATTTTTTCATTTTTGCATTTTCATTTGTGTCTTACTTTTGTTAAACATTGTTTGTGAGATTCATCCATATTGTGAGCTTGTCATTTGTTCATTCTCATTGAGTTATCAACTTGTAACACATTTCCATTCTACCATAGTTAAAAAGTTACTTTGACATTACCTGAACCTAAGTACTATTCTCCTACTTCCCCTTTTTACTGAATAGAAGCCTCACCCAGCCAGTAAGCATACGGCCTGGCTTCAGATTACCTGTTATGGGTGACTCTAAAGTCATTGTGAAAGATTATTTTTTTTTAATTTAGGAACACATTTCAGGGGTTTTTGTTTGTTTGTTTTACTCATCATGATCTTTTCAGGCTTTTATGTTAAACACATGCCAGAGCCCTTCTGGGAATTCCCGTGCTCAGTCTTGGTAGAACATCAAAGACAGAGGTATTGAAGTAAATCTTCAGAGGCTACAGCAAAGATGGCAGATAGGTTTAAACTTGAATTCGACTTTCAAATAATTGCCACCATTTCTGGAATCTTTTCTGTTTGAGGGGGAGGGCAAGCAAATGAGCCAGGTGTTTTTCTTTCCCCAACTATTTGATTTTCCATAGATGCCTGAGTGTTTTCAGCATGCCTATTGAGAATTACCTCAAATAACTGGTGTCATGTACTTTTAAAAAATATATTTTTATTAATTTCAGAGAGGAAAGGAGAGGGGGAGAGAGAGAGAGAAACATCAGTGATGAGAGAGAATCATAGAGTGGCTGCCTCCTGCATGCCCCCACTGCGGTTCGAGCCTGCAAGCCAGACATGTGCTTCCTTCAGTCCACAGGCCAACGCTTTATCCACTGAACCAAGCCACGTAAGACTGTGTCGTGTACTTTTCAAATATCTTTGTCCGTGGCAAATCCTAGTGATTTAAAATGGGATTCGATTATTTTAAATGATCATGTGTAAGTTAGAGTGAGCCTGAGGAATAGCAAAAGTGGAAAAAGGTGCTGTAGTCCTGTCTGAAGTGTATCCTTTATTTTTACATAGTTTAAGCTCTCTGAGCCTTAAAATTCTCTAAATGGAGAAGTAGTCCTCTCTTATGTTTGTTCTGATTGGACTGCTACAGACATTTTTTGTTTTTCTCCACCAAGAATTCCCCCAAGGTTTGTCTTGCTTTTAAGGCATTCCCCATTGTGTGTGTAGTCCAAGATTCCTTATTGAAGCATTTACACCTTCCCTTTTTGTGGTGCAACCAGGCCCTAGGCTTGTCCAGATTTTTTCTCACGGGACTTTGGCTGTTGAGAGCAAAATAGGCCATGAGGTTTTTTGGAGAACTATCTTAGTAGTGTCAACATGTGCAAGTTTAAATTGAGGTTTTTTTTGGAGACCTATCCAAGTAATG